TATAAGATCGCTTTTATTGCGACGGTGCACTCCAAAATCCAGAGGAATAGAAACCTGAATCGAACCCTGTCTTGGCACATCGTTTCACTATGAAGTTTGTAAGATATATTTCTATAATTAGTTTATATGAGGCAGGATTTGAGAAATATGGGACCAATTGTAAGCTGGAAAAAGATTTTGGCATTGATGCATCCAAGCAAACAATTTGGAATAATCAGCGATTTTCGGATGCGTTATCGGGGGGAATGCTATATTTTATGGGAGAGTACACAGTAAAGTTCACTTTTCATTGCACAGTTGAACTGTCGTAGTGATGTGGAAATGAATGGATCATGTTTTTGCGTCGCTGATGGTGAAGAAAAAGGAAATGTGCTGACAATGGGCACTAATTGTCGGGTGATTTCTTATGACGAACTACTTTAACAATACTTCTCCGTGAAACATCGGAACTCAATGTGAATCTGTCCTCTTTGGACTTAGGGAACGTTAGTTCGTCCTTATTTTTTTAACAGTGTATCTTAAAAGGCAAAAAACTTTATTAAAACTTATGTCTGTAAACATAGCATTCTATGTAGAAGTTTTTTTTGCAAGCGACTCATATACTCCGTTTGCCTTTAGCTCAATTAGCATAGGTTTGCTGTCGTTTTTGCTCAATCCCATGCATTAATTGAGTTATGTTTCACAGGGAAGGTTAAGACGCCTGGATGATTGAATATTGTTGAAATTCCATCCAACATGCGAATGTTGTTGTAGGAGCTTTTCGTGCTGTGCCGTGCTTCGCATCTTTGACGCTGCAGGCTAGAGCAGAGATATATGGGCGGAACATAGTGCCCTGAGGACCGCTGCCCGAGCCTCAGTAGTGTAAAAATACGGGTCTGTGTGAGATGCAGAAAATTTGATTAGAAGGGGAACCCACCAAGTGGGTACTACCACGTTGAGAGAGCGCACATGTGGAAACGCACATGCGCTAATCCTCTAGCTACATTTTCACCCACATGCCGTGTTTCAAGGTCATAAAATATTTCTATTTTCATTTTGCTATTTCTAAAATTTGTCACACTGACTTTTCTAACATGATTTTGAATTGACATTGTTTGATCACGTGTAAGATCGTAATGCGGTCAGGGTATTGGTCATGCTTCCAATGAATTGCCGTTACCAATCAACTTGATAACGGCAATTGATTGATAAGCGAAAGAGCGAAACCTGACCTGCGTGGTAGGTAGCCTTAGCGGTTCAATGTGACAAAATACACAGAAAGCGCTATTGATTACCGCACGCGTGCAAAGCGCGGCGCGACGATGACTGCGAGGCAGTACATTGCACAGTGCGCATAGCAAAACTGTAAGGCGGTCAAACTGGCGCAAAGTGTTTGGCCAAACCTTTCCATTCTTTTCGTTACCCAAATGGGGGAGATTAAGAGCAGAAAAGTGTGGGCATATTGAAACTTCCCACTTTAAAATTATTCTATAATAATAGCGCTGTTTCAGATAACAGTGCTTTTTCTACATTTAACAAAACCCCACCATTTCGGTGGTGAACAAATATGCATCAATTAGGGCTACATATTCAACAGATGTAGTTAAGAAATCAATATCGAAAAAGATGATCGCAAAGATGTGATACTACTGAAGGAGAATGAGGAAGATTCAGTCATTTGACGGAGCGGAGTTATATTAGGCTCTAATGAATGCACAATGTAACCATGTGTGTACATGAAGCAGGTTGTTGTTTACATTGAAAACCTAGGAATGACTAAGCTCCCATGAAAACAATAATTAAATAGATAATGCTAGCTGTAAGCTGTCATTAATCTGTTTCTGTGTTCTGATTGTGGCTTGGAGAAAGTGTTGGTTACAAAACTCTGAGGAAAGTCATCAGGGCCTCATAATAAGCATAAGCATAANGATGAAGGCGAAAAAGGGGCTCAACATTTGTTACTGTGGGTGATAATAGTGAATAGAGACTGTAGAAAATTGCTCAACAGTGATGGCAGTTTGACGAAGCAGCGACACGGGATTAGAGCAGCACCGATGTTTACCGTTTGCGCGACGGCAACCCCCCTCACCTAATTCCGTATTAACTCAGAATAGAGGAGAGAAGATGCACATGTTAGTTTAAGTCTTACGGTAAATATATTTTCAGTTGCTTGTTAAATTTTTGGCCCAATTCTTGGTTGTGCCCTCTCTTTTCGGCGTGACTAAGGTTTTGGGACATTAACTTCTTACTCAGACTTATCATCATTTCATTTCTTTTAATCCGACAAGGCTTGATCGTGGTTAATCAATATTATTGATCTAACGAGTAATCAATAATATGCGATATTTCACGTTTTAGATAAAGCTTTTTGCGAGATTTGGGTGCTCATCAAAGCTTAACAAAAACCATCGTTAGTGGGCGTTATGACAGCTGCGATTTTTTCACTGGGGATTCCTCTTGTCAATACGGGCCGATGTTGGACTCGGAAGCCATAAGTCGGTAGAAAATCAAGTACAGTATTGCTAAATGGCAACGTATGAAGAATGAGGGTGCTTCAGTAGTTTTTTTTTTNGGGTCGTAGTTTAGTGACTCACGAGGAATGTACTGTTGCCGCTCTCTTTTCGTCCGTGTTACTTGGAACCTCTGTGAAAACATTCCTTCCGACAGGGCCTGCTCGTGGTTAATCAATATTATCGATCAGAATTATTAGAAACTGATCAATAATGGGATCAGCAAGGTGTTATCGCTTGCCCATCTTCGTACGAGTGGTGCGCATGCCGTACTCCAATAGAATATTGGAAACGTTTCCTTCCGGACCCAAAACGAGAAGACGCTACGCAGTCACATAAGGTCGCTTGCGAATCTAATTACGAAGCAATAGCAATTTGTCGTTCACGTTCTCAAACAGGGAGAGATGGGCGCATCGATCTCTGTATGATGACAGAAAGGCTCAAAGAAAACGGGCCTAGCTGAGTAGAGAGGAAAAGTTGGGTTGAAAAATATCATTCCCTCCCCAGTGCTTTGGTCAATCTATTGGAGCGGGCCCTACCGGTGGATAAGAAAAATGCTTGGGTTCGATTAAATATTTTTGGATGGGGTTTCTCTCAAGGTGTTGTATGCCTGCCCAGGAAACATGAACGGTAGAGGTGCAACTTCTCTAGAGGAGCTGAGATGAATCACTTTTAAGGAATCTTGGCAAATCTATTCCACTTCACGACTCTTGTCTTTGTTGCCAAGTAAACAATTACGCTACTTGTCATCTACCTTAATTTCTCCATATCAGCTTTAACAAATTTTATTCAGGTTCAAGAAAGTGAAGGACTACGTATTTGCATTAGAAATATCGGAAGCCAAGGGTATGGATCCTTGGAGTGGTTACCAGAATATGCCGCCAGACCAAGGTAAATTGGTTTTATTTGCAGAAATATCTGGTTTTATTTCAAATGTTTGTGGGAATATCTTAGCAGAACACAGAATGTAAAGATGTTACTGAAAAGCAATACTTTTACCTTCACAAAAGTCGTTATTGAGTGTAACCGTATTGAAAAAGAAATCTCGGGAATGGCTGAAGCAGAGGTAATCGCGTAAGAGCAACCTGGTGGGAACAAGTGGCTTTTTTCNGTAAAGATGTTACTGAAAAGCAATACTTTTACCTTCGCAAAAGTCGTTATTGAGTGTAACCGTATTGAAAAAGAAATCTCGGGAATGGCTGAAGCAGAGGTAATCGCGTAAGAGCAACCTGGTGGGAACAAGTGGCTTTTTTTCTCGGGGTTCTGTGGGATGGAGTGCAAAAAACGACTGAAAAGCCATGATGTGCAGTGGTGTGCCGTTGTTGACTTGGTGCCTTACCTACACAATAGCTGCCATCTCACTGTGTGTGTTGGCGATTTGAAGAGTGAGCAAACCGTGATGTATTGTGTTCCTTTTCTGAAATCATGTTCCTGCCGCTGGTGAAACAGGAGACGATGTCATGCAACAAAATCCTACAGCTGTTGTTCGATAAACGTGACATAGAAGACTTGTTGAGAAGTCATTGTAAGGGGTCGACTGGCGGAAAGTGAGGTTCGTGTGCGAGTGAAAGAGAAGTGCTGTATTGGATGCCTCTACCAAAGTTTCCTTCCCCAATACTTTTTGTCAGAAAGTGTTTTCCCACTGATATTTACTTAATAGAATTTCTGTGCTTGTATGTGAATCAAACAATTGGAAGTGACTTTTCCTGAATGGATCATCACAGCAGGAATGTTGTGCTAGGTGCTGTGGGAGTAAATAGCTTCCGATCCCGATTCATGGCATTCCCATTGGCTTGAATGATTGCCTTTTAGAACTGGTTGTAGCATTTAATACTGTTTCACGACCTTCGTGGTTTAGCTAGCAAATATGCTCGAGTTGTTGTAAAATACAGGTAAAGGACCTAAAAGGTCGTGGTAAGTAGTTCAGAGCTAATCTTCTATAGAATCAGTCAATGATCACGATAGATCGGTTCCCATATCATTCTATCGTACTGTTTATTCCCAAAATGCATAAACTGCTTCTGGGAGTACAGTATAGAGAACGGATACTAAAAAAGCGGTCCAAAGCCGAACTGAAAAGGATTCAACAAATTGAAAGAAATAGTGGTGGTAGAGAAGAGATAGACTTTGATAAAAAGCGCAGATACCAGAACAATCAGGCTATACTTAGTAATAGTACCGTTGTTGGTGGCGTGTACACATCCCAGTCGGAATACCTAGTTAAACAGTTGTAGTTGAAATTTTTTTTGGGAACAATTTAATCTGTTCGGTGAGCTGTTAGGGAGACCGGTTGCCGTTGGGTAAGTCGTTTCAGTTGCTTTAATGGCATGCAGGAAGAAATGAAAGAACGGGTTAAGATAACCTACTACGGGAAAGTAAAGTTTCGTGATCGAGTAAGAAGGATGGATATCAAAAACTGATTGATTGTATAAAATAGTTCAAGTATCTTTTGATATGAAATCATAAATTGTATGCTTTGCAGTGAATTGGGCCGATTTGGCACAAAGATGGATGGCTATGCGATCGGTCCAAGAGGATCAAGCCCGTGGTGGTGATGTAAATGGTTATGGAGGCCATTACGGAGGTTACAATGGACCGCCAGATCACTGTGGTCGAAACGGTGGTTACAACGATTATGGAAGAGAAGACATGGGCGGGCACTATGGCCACCCTGGCCACGCTCGTGATCAAAACTATGACAGAGGGCCAGATAGAGGCCATCGTGGTTACGGAATGCACGACACACGCCATCCAGGTATGAAATGAATTGAATTTCGGAATCGTAGAGTGCCAACTTTCCTCTTTTTGTAGACGATTGGGAACCATCTCAACCAGCTCCATCGGGTCCGAATCGACCCATTTTCCCGTCAGCTGCTCAAACAAAAATTGATACCCGACACGTAAGATGTTGATCAATTTTTTGACTAAATTCTTCGTAGGATCTGCTCATGTTTCGGAAAGACATTTTCAGGATTACCAAGACGGCTATCGAGGGCAGTGGGGTGGGGGTGGACCGCCTCCTCCTCTTATGGATTCGCATAGCCATTCAGATTACCATCGTTCAGTAAGTCTTATAATTTACCGAATTTTGCGTTATATATTTATGTGATTTTATAGCCGGGTCCGCCAAACCAATATCCTCCGCAAGACTTCCCGCCCGGGCCACCCCCTCCAGGTAGGAATTGGGTTCCGCCTCCATCAGGTGGTCCGATGCCACCCAATGGACCACCGTTCCATCAAGGCCCTCCTCTAGGAGGTCCACCTTTGGGAGGTCCTCCTCTAGGAGGCCCACCTTTGGGAGGACCACCTCCTCACGGTGGACCGCCGCCACCCGCGGGTCTACCACCAGGACCGCCCCTGTCTTCGGCAGGTCCGCCACACCTTGGTCCACCATCGTCAGGAGGACCACCACGCCAAGGTCCGCCACCGACAGGGGGCCCGCCACATCACATATCACATGGAGGTTCTATAGATGGTGGACCATCTCATAGAGGTCCCCCTCATGGAGGACCGCCTGGACCGGCAGGATCACATTCCCCTGGGGCACCTCCATGGTATCCTCCGCCGTATTACCCTCCAACATCGTATTCGTCTGGTGGATCAAACGTACATCCTCCGCAACAGCCTGGAAACAGTCAAGCACCAGCACAGTTCTTCACAATAGGTGAGTTATTCGAGCTTTCTGTTGACAAATCTCGTAATCATTTCTGCTATTCGGTTTGAAAAAATTGCAGACGCTTCTGCCCGAAAAAGATTGCCAGCGTGGATCTTAGAGGGTCTAGAAAAAGCAGAACGTGAGAAGATGAAACAGATGGAAAAAGAAGAGCGTATGAAGAAAGCCGAAGAGGAAAGAGCGAAGAGACGGGCGCTCGCTGGAAAGGGCAGATTCGTAAGCTATCTTCATGTGTCTCGTAACTAAACTTTCTATTGCGGGGCGTTTGTGCCGATTAGTGACTTTGAATTTCTTTCACTCTCATACCGTTTTACTGTAGGATAGCAGCAGTGAGGAGGAAGACGAGGGACATGCTGATGACGAGAGGTCACGATCCAAGTCACGGCAATCAGTTGGCGCCGAGGATGACGATGGTGAGCCGGTTTTCTTAGCGAAACGGCATGTTCTTCCTGTTGAAGACCTTCGCACAGAGGAGGAAAAGAAGGACGATGCGGTATGTGTAATTTTTGCGTGCCAATTGAAGAGCTTAGCTCTCCTACCTATCTACGATCAGATTCTTTACCAATTCTCCATGGCTAATGCGGCGCAGTCTTGGACAGTGTTGAATCACTCTGATTTGGCCAACCGATCATGTTTCAATGGTTTATGTGGGAGGGGGTTGGGTAGTGCCAATGGTACTCCGAATTGGCGTCGCAATATTTTCATTTTGAGTTTTGTGTGGAGAGTATGACAATTTGAACATATACATTCTCAATGTCCTGTTAGGTTGGGAAGTTATTGAGCTATTGCTACGATAATGTAGTCTTTAACCGTTACAATTATTCATCCTCTCATCACTCATCTTTCGCTGATCACTTGATGGTTTATTCCAAAGACCCTTTTGCATCTCCTGAACGACTCTTTGTTTCTGTGTGTTTCTGTCTTTGTTAGTAGAATTATCGCTATGGTGGTCGGATGTAGAATTGATCGCGAACGGCGAGATTGTAGAGCGAAATCGAAGTTTGGGTCATTTCTGGAAGTCCGCAGAAGGCATTCCTATTGCTTTCTCAAACAGAAATCCCCTTAGCACACTCATTCTACCGATTTTTACCCGAGTGACTGGTTTACTGGGAGCTGTAAATGTCCTAACTAGGATATCATGTTTTTCAGATGATTGCCGTAAGATACATCATGATGGCACTGCTAATGGAAGCTACGGACGAGTCTCTTCGCTCGGGCATAAACGAATGTATACGAGAGGCGAAGCACGAAGGTCTGCTGAAGCAATTAGTCTACAATGCTGGGTTATGGTGCAATTGCACGTCAGTCTCTAGCTTGTGGGAGTCCACCATTTTGAACTGTTTTGTAACTGAATTGTTTTAATAGTCTGTATTTTTTTGAGAAACAGTGCTCAGTTTCTACTACAGGTGAAGTGTTTCGGGTTTGGTTTTGAACGGGTCATTTCTTTATTTCCATACAGGTTCAATTAACCAATTCTTTTTTCACATATCTAAATCATCCGTTTAGCTGAGCCAAAGCTACTTGCGAAGAGTTCCGCATTGGCGGCTTTGTCTAGTCTCGGTAAGCTTTTATCTTATTGTTTTACATCATTTCGGATCTAAAAGATAGAGCTATATTCGCCTATAAATTTGGCAGTAATGGACTTTTGCCGTCGTTAAATTTTAAGTGCCTTCCTCTACCTATTGACAGAGATTTTGATTATTCAATGTTTGGAAACGATGCTTGTGTTGTAACGCGCGAATTTCGCGCTTGCAGTTAGCTCCTTTCTGGTTGGTCTCGACTTCCATTTTTGGTGTAACACTAAAACGCTGATGGTAAAACTCTTGGGCGAAATTCGCGCTTCGTACTTTTGCTCAATTTTTGATTGTTGGATTGTTGAGTTGTTATCTTTGATAAAAGTCATTAGAAGCCTATGTTGGATGTTGACGCCTCCATTCTACAGTAAATGCAAACTAAAACTACTAATTTTTCTTTTATTTCTCTTGAAACTCGAACAATAATGGGTAAATGACAGGAGGAGGCGAGAGCGACGAGGACAGCGATGATGAAGCTGAGAAGAATGGCTCCTCCAATAACCGCAGCGGTGGACCATCACCATCGAGTGAGTCGGGCGAGGATAATGCTTCGTTCAAAACCCCTTTTGGAATTCCACGAAAGAGTAGTAAGCAAACTCCCAACTCAACAGGTATGTAATCGTATTTGCAAATTCACAATAGTGCTCTCAGTGCAGGTGCCCTTCTGCCGTTGTTTAATGTCTAATGTCATAACAAGAACTGATCCATTTCTTCCCATCCTCACTACCTTTATAAATTAGGGATCGAATCAACGATCCTATTGTACTTTAGAAGACTCTTCAACAGCGGTAAATGCTGGAGATGGTACGGATTCAGATAAAACGAGTTTACGACGATCTGGTTGGTTACGAATTTTATTGTAGCTGGGATTTTCCAGTGCTTCTATGCTCATCGTTTATATCTCGTTTAGGTAAAAATGATAAAAATGATACGGATAAAAGTGGTTCCTCCGACAAGTCTGATTCAAAACGCCGTAGAAGTCGATCTCGTAGTAGGTGAGGATTTGATTCATAGCATTTGTAGATCTCGAATCGTCATATTCATATTATATCATTATATTATTCATATTCATATTTTTTTGATGTTTTCATAGCTCGAAAATCGATTTCGGGAGATTAAGTTAACTTAATATAAATAGGGCACATAAGCAAGACGATTTCCTTAAGATCGAATAGGGTCGGTCCCAGTTGGGAAGTTCTTACCTCCTTTTGATGTCGGTATTTTGAATAACCCTGGTAGTGTCGGATTTATTAATTAAAGCTTTGGTCGGCTTGTGATGAATGGGTTCTTTGAACAGGATTTATGATTGATAGGGAATTGGCTGAACCAGCCCATTAGTCGGGTACCTAATCCAATCGATTGGGTAATCCCATCCATGAAATTTGAAGGGGAACCGTAGCGGTGAGAAGGACGATTTTGGAGGGAGCATTGTGTGACTGTGGAAGGATTGACCAAAGTAAATTGTCTTGCAAAGAGAACTATGACATTGTGAAACGTTCTAAAGCACCGATTAGTTTCCCTGGCTCTGGATGCATTATGCTTTTGGAACAAGAGCCTTCTCTGGAATGAGCACTAGTTTTTTACGCAGTAGGCCCTAACTAGACTTGTGTTCGAGCGCACGTTTTAGACAATTACACGATACAATAAGTGGCAATAAAAAATGTTTTTTATTGCCACTTATTGTAAGGTGTCTCTTATCCCTATGGGGATCCTAAGAAAAACGCATGCCCCAGTGTTTCCTTCATTGAACACTGAAACGCGAGTTTTTCTGAGAACGAAATCTACTCATGTGACAGTTGTTTAATTACTTAAGTAAGCATCTGCTTTCAGGGAGCGAAGACGAAGTCGTTCTGGTGATCGGAGGCGAAGCAGATCACGGGATCGTCGGCGCAGTCGCAGTCGTAGCCGCGAGCGTAGGCGTAGCAGATCGCGCGAGCGTAAACGCAGCGGGTCGCGAGAACGCCGACGTTCTCGCGAGCGCCGTCGCAGTCGCTCAAACGATCGCAAACGTTCGCGTAGAGATCGCAGTACGGATCGTAAGCGGGACAGAAGTTCCAGTCTGGAGAGACGGCGTAGGTAGGCACCACCGACTTGAGGAATACGGACGTGTCATAGGTGTATTACGAAATTTTGTTTTTTCAAGAAGCTTCATTGTTGAGATCTAGCCCCTTTTGGTATTTTAGGCACATGGTTTTCTAATTTGTTTTCTTTTTTTTCTGTTGTGATGTTATTGCATCGTCTCGTAGTCCGAGAGGAGGTGTGTGAACATACCCCGTTCGTCCATCTCTGTCGATCATATTGATTCGTACTGGTCACTGTTCCCCTTGATGCTCGATTGCATGTCTCACATCTACAAAAATGCCCCTAATCAGTTATGTATTATTTACATTTTCAATATTGATAAAATAAAAGTTTGTGTTAACCATGTTCATGAACAACAGTATCGAAAAATGAGGGATATAAGTGTGTATCGAAGGGATAAATCGGCGGATGTGGGATCGCGGAGTTGGTGCAGACGTGCCAGGAAGAAAGTTGTAATATGCCTCGACTGGCTCTGGCTGTCCGCTCTCCTCACCCTCTCCCACGCTCGCATACACACACACACACATCCAACACCCGAACGCGCTCCCCACACTCACTGCGGTCCACGACCACGACGACGACACATAGGATTCGTCTTTTTACTCGGACAGATCTATCGATTTATTGATTACCATCTGAAAGTGCACCACATATCATTTGATGCGGGTTCGGCTTGTACTGGTGACGGCGGCGGTGGTGACACTGATCGCTGTATTGGATGTCGTCGAGTCACGTAAGAAGAACCAGAATGTGAAGGTGACTGTGGCTGACGATGTGCCGTTACCGAAGAAGATACCTCCTGTCGGCAAAACACCGGGCAAGGTAAGGGCCTGAGCACTAAGCAGTTACAGTATTTCGAGCTTACATTAGTTCTGTGCGTACTGTTGTTGTTGTTTTTCGAGTTCGATTATATCCGCTTGGGTTAAGTTTACCACCAGTGTAGGTTACAGTTGTTCCTTCCAGCAGAGAGGTGTGTAAAGGAGGTCTAGGCATTCCATTTTCGACCAGGATCGCTAAGTCATTTGTGCATGCGTTCAGTTAAAACCATGGTTTTCAGGGTATTTAGCTGTCGAGTTTGAGTTTTGTATTTTTATTCAATTTTAATAATATTATGGCACCTTAGTGGTTTTCGTAAGGGCCCCAAACTTAGCTGATTCTGAAGTATTTAGCATTTGCATCATATCCATCCCTATAGATGGTTGACAGGATTGAGTTATAGCAGAGGAATTGAGTGACCTAGAATGAGGGGGAGAATGTGCGATCTGGACATTGGTCTGTTCGTATTCTGAGAACGGAGCCCGGTTCAGTCCTAGAGAAGGTTTGATTTTGATCCAGACACCACAATGTCGCCTAGCACCTGTGCTGGTAGCGTTAAACCCACGACCACGGCCATAACCACCTACGACAAGTCGTAATTTCGAGTTCACAGACCACGATTACATTTTGTAATACCTGGAACCTTGGTGACTATTGTTCTTCAGTTCGGACAGATTTCTATCAGAAAATTACAAGAATAACTATATGATTTTGTTATGGGTAAGAAGGATGAAGTCTTCAGGGGTTAATCAATCCCGCCTGAGGGATGCGCCCCCGCATTCGACTTCCATTCAGATTCGTAGTGGTTGTTGAATGCGTATGTGGCCTATGCAATGACTTGCGGTGACCAGCCGATGTTCGGGACAGTGCTTTTATCCTCCCACACGAGTCTGGTACCAATTAACCGAATCCGTAGGGATGGAAGGCTTGGTTGGCCTGGGCGTATATCGAACACGTGACCATGCGTGTGTGTTAATGCACCATTTTCAAATACAACACCTCCGTCCGCTTCTATGATGGTCACCTAGAAATGAACACCCCCAATGAGTCAGGGAATCCAGTTCACCAGTTGTTTTAGATTATGCCATCCACCTTTTAATTTTTTTCGTCCTCTGCTTTGCTCTCTTCTTACCTAATTGGATGAAAAGAACACCCCTAATTTTCACTTGCATTTACAGTTGTTTTAGAGAGCCTTTGGGGGGTTTTTTTTTGGAGAGTAGTAGAAAGGGGTAATGTGATCCGTGATCAGGAAATGTTGCACGTCAGCTGCACGGGGAACAAGATCGATCCTCGACTCAGAGGGAGCTTTACATCTACAAGCTTGCGGTCAGCCGGGAGTGTAGAAAGTTCTGCAAAATTTGTATAATTACATGCCCTATAACTATTAGACCGATGCTGTGATTGGAATCCGAATTCCGACTTGAAGTACATATTCAAAAAATGGTTAGATCATTGAGTTCTTCGAGCTCTAAGAGGCATAAGGAAGTTTGAAACTTCGATTTTGTCGCAGCAAGAAAACGAATAATTTGAGCTACAAGGGTGAGCTTAGGAAAGGTCGATTTGTGGCGGCATTTCGAATGGTAGAAAAAGCCTTGCCAACAGCACGTTGAATCCTTCGAATGTGATGCCTGCCTCCACACGGATGCTCACCTTGAAATGGAAATGATTAATTGAGTTGTATGGGGAGAGTAACTAGTGCCTAATTATTCAGTCTTGCCTAATTGGAATCGACCTACGAGAAGGCGAAGCACGAAGACCTCGGTAGACCTATTGGATAAACTGATAACAAATTAGTGGGACCCTTCATTAAAGTTTGATCTGGCCCGTTCAGCCATAGCTGTCCTCGATAAGCGAGTAAGAGCTCGATGAGTCTATTGCACTTTACAAGGTCTCACCCAGCTATGTAGGGGACACCCTTGTACGCCCCTGAACGGTCTGATCTAAAAGGGTAGGGTGCTTTTCGTTTTCGCATAAGTCAGTAGAATAGATCATTTTACATTTCTATCAAGTTGCCCGGCTTATCCGTGACCTGCTGGGAGGGAAGCTCACCCGATTTCTGAATTTCGTGGTAGGAAACTGCTTTTTTCAGTTTATTTTCATCATATCTTTCAAGCTNGAGTAACTAGTGCCTAATTATTCAGTCTTGCCTAATTGGAATCGACCTGCAAGAAGGAGAAGCACCAAGACCCCGATAGACCTATTAGATAAATTGATACCAAATTGGTGGGACCTTTCACTAACGCTTGATCTGGCCCGTTCAGCCATAGCTGTCCTCGATAAGCGAGTAAGGGCTCAATGTGTCTATTGCACTTTACAAGCTCTCATCCAGCTATGTTGGGGACACCCTTGTACGCCCCTGAACAGTCTGATCTAAAAGGATAGGGTGCTTTTCGTCGTACTACATCGACTTGTACACATAATTCAGTGAAAGAGATTACTTCACATTTCCATCAAGTTGCCCGGCTTATCCGAGACCTGCTACGTTTCGTGGGAGGGAGGGAAGCTCACCCGATTTCTGAATTTCGTGGTAGGAAACTGCTTTTTTCAGTTTATTTTCATCATATCTTTCAAGCTATTCCTCTACACTGGGAGTAGCAGACTAACTCAAAACCTTTATGTTTGATGGTTTTTTATGTCTGCCTTCAAAGCCACCCTTAGCTATGAAGGTAAGGGATATGGGAAGAGGGTGGGGTGGTGAGTAAGAAGCATATAATTCAACATTTGTCCCGACCTAAAGGGTTTCTTTGACTTGAGACCACCGTAAGAGAAAGGTTACAAGGTTACATTCACGGGGAGAGCTTGAGGGTCGAATCATTTTTCACCCATATGTTTATCGAGAGTTTGGTGAAACAGGGCCTATGTAGCAGTTCACGTGCCCGATTCTTAAGACTACTTGTGAGGGCTACTGTATCGAGTAATTCAGTCATCCATAAAACATCTAGACAAGCTAGGCTGAAGATTTCTACTTTTTATTTCCTTATGAAAAAAACACACTCACTTTTGAATTTTTTTAACATTGCCTTCTTTATTTGCCAATTTTTATGAGGATCACATCGCTGGCCTCTTCATATCACCTGCCCATTGATCTGAGCCTGTTTTACGGCAGCCGAGTGTTTGTTTATCTTGCTCGAACTTGTTTGCCCCACCTGTGAGATAACTTTGAGGGAGGGCAATTGTTTTGCTAAAAAGACGATAAAATCAGCCTCTTTGCGACATCTGCTTGCTCCTTGGCCAAAATCACCTTGCTGCTTTTTTCCTGAAGCCAGTCTTCCTGAAGTTTCAGCCTCGAATGCGTAGTCCCATACAACGACTATGAGTGGTCAACTAAAGTGAAAGTCAGTGCTTCTATCTTCCCAGTCATGCTGGGTCGACTTTGACGAGTATCGAAAAGGGATTCGATCATGGGACCATAGCTCCATAGTTTGGGTCCTCTTCACGATAGTGATTTACAATGTTCTCCCAAGTCAAGATCCCCAAGCTTAACAAAGATCTCAGCCTGTTGCTAGGTCTAGGTTTTGATGTTGATCGATGGTTTGGGATTCAGAGTGCTAGAAGGAAGAAAATATCCAAAAAATGCTTCGACTGAGCCTCTGTTCTGAGCAACCCTGCTTATTCAGCATTTTTTATTGCTTGTAAAAGCTTATTGGATATGTGATCGCAACTGAGAAAGATACACGATCTTTTTTCCTCTCAGAAAAATGACCGATAGCGAGTATGCTCTGAATTTTGATGACTATGCACAGAAGGAAATCTTCCAATGTTTATCGATTACTCTCTATCTGTCAATCGATTCTTCCATTGATGTTTCCAAAAGATATGTTCGAAGAGCCTGTAGGAAATGTCAGTGACGTTTCGAGGATGCCGGCACCATGAAAAACTTTATGTAATGGATTAACTAATTCCTTCAGATGTGCTCTCCTCAATTCCGTTCAGGACTAATCTGATGCAGATCAATCAATGCATATGACATTTTTTAATACTTGATGTGAGGTTCTTCATCAGATGATCAAGTCGTAGTGCACTGAATACATTCGAAATTACAAGCTGCTTCCCCCCTCCTAAAGCTTCAGATAAAGATGGAGACTGATGTCTGCTCCAGCATCGGGATGGGATTCCTGATCGACCCTAACCTAACGAGACTTTTCTCCTTTGAGCCTCTCTATTAGGCAACAAACTTATATGACATGATAAAAACACTTACTTCTATATAGGCTTTCGTAGTCAAGTGATCGTTGGCCAAATGAGCATTTTGACGACGGTGCGATTTGAATAGATAGTCGACTGCATGGCGCATTTCGAAACGAGATCGACTGAAGTCTAAACTTCACTACTGTATGTCTCCCGATTCTTATCAGGCGGTCTATACTAAATGAGCACTTCTGATGATAACGATAGCGATATTTGATGTTCGCTCCAAGGCTCCTTGAATTTTAAGTTTTGAGTGAAATTATGATAACCTAGGCGTAAAACCATGAAACCATCTCAAAACTATTATAGTTCCTTCCAGTATTCCCATAAACTGAAGGTGATGAACTTATCTATTCAGTCGAGAAGAGCGCTACTTTGACTTTTATATTTCAGAAGTCTGGCAAGGGAGTCGAGGATCTGAGGCAAGAGGACACCGACAATTCTATTGACGATGTCGATGAAGACAAAATTGACGAGATCCTTCGAGATGCTACTCGGAACCTCGTCATCTTCTTCTGTAAGCCTTTCCTACAATGAGAAATCTTCTTCTGTAAGCCTTTCCTACAATGAGAAAATTTTTTACTGCTTGTACTGCTTCTTCCTACTCTAACTTCTACTTCCTGCGAAAAAGCGTTGGAATCACAAGGATTTTTTGACCGTTTGTTGCCTTCAGCCTTGCCGAATGGTCATTGGTTTCGGCTCTTCTAGAAACTTTCCAAAATTATCTTTTTCAAGTCCCTTAAGACTGCTGTACATGATTTTTTGTCAAGGTATTCTGCGGGAGTGTATTGGCAAAACGTGAAGAGCGACCCTTGAGTCGAACCACTCATCGGATTCTGGCTAGATCAGCTACGTTACGCAAGGCACCAGGTCTCAGAACGTGTCGCTGAGTGGTCTGAAAAGTTGTAAACATGAATATCTCCCACGTGTGTTGGGCGAAACCAAAATTCCCACTCAAATACCCTTATATTTGGGGATGAAGTCAGTTAGCGTGTACTGTCTGGGAACGGATTGACCATTCACGGAATCACACATCACAAGTTCCGTTGTTCTACTCTTTCGCAAAATCTAGTCATTCCGAGAGTGGCCAATTGCCATTTAAATCATGACCCAGTGAGAATGATTGAGACTGCCTGTAGTCATCCACACTTCTATATTCTTCCTTTTCCCTTTCTTTTTCTTTGTGTTCCCTTTAAACTCCCGTGAAAGAAGTCGTTTTGATCCTACTGTTTTTTCCTTTATAAAAGTAAGAACATTGAGACATCAGTCGAGGGCAAGAAATGAGATGTGTTGGCTTTCTATTTCGCCGGCCACTTATCCTCTCTAAACAGTTTCGTCTCTCATGTTTTTTCCAAGCTGAAAAGTATACAGACGTTGGCTAGGGAACAGCTGCTCCGGTTGGAGCAAAGGAGAAAAGCCTTGGTGAGAACACCCACGATCACTTTCTCAGTTTAAAAGATCGAATATCAGACTGACCTAACAAGCGTTTATCACTCGGGGTGAACCAGTTAGTCAAAAACTCATTTATTAAGAAAGGATGTCGATATTGACATCGTTTGGGTTGCAGCTGAAGCAATTGACGGGAAATGTGGGCAATGATCAATCCCGATCCAGAAACCTGACATTGAACCCTTAAGGATTTAACCAGTCATAAACTCACTTATTTAATAGCTCACTTTTCGCTATCACATCCTTTGAGAAAAACAGTTGACGGTCATGACATGTGGGTCCACAAAGAGCATTTTTTGGCTAAAGACGGACCTAATGTCGCATAACTATCGGAATGCAGCTTTCCACATCAACTATCTCAATTGAACTATGCTACGTTTCAGACGAGGCCAAATCTCACTGTCCGTCATGTGTCGAGGCGCTTTCAGAGGTGGAAGAAATCGATGATGACATCGAGGCTACTGGATACGTTCAGGTTCGACTTTTAGTGAAGTTGCATAGTGGATGAAACTTGTGTTTGGCCGAACTACTCATTCCCTGTCGTTCTGTGTATAAACAAAATTTTTTCATTTTTTGGTATTTAAAACCTATCGTCAATGAACCGGATTCATTTGGGGAATACATCTCTCTGAGTTATTGGGTTCATACCAACTACTAATCAGTTCCCAAATGTAGAGCTCATGATATAAGTAAGGGAATCTTTGCATTTCTGCTAAGCTGAGTCTACCGACTCTTCTATACCCTTCAAGGTATACCCTTGATTCTTTTATTTTGAGGAGGGGTGATGCTAGTCAGACAGTTTTACTTAAACAGAACTCTAGACCACGCAACTCCCTATTCCAGAGGTCTTTCCGAGAGCATTTCGTCTTTATCACAAACTTCTAAGGGGGAGGAACACATTGTTGAAAACTCACAGTGGTCCCCAATTTGCCTGGCCCGTCATTCCCCTTCTCCCACATCATACCACCCACAGCGCTCAGGAGTAGCTTCTGCAAAATTGGCAGAAAAGCGCTCACAAAATACCCTGCGACTACAAACCCAAAGGCAATTCACAGGATAATGGGGACCCTTCCACTTATAAGCTGAAATCCATTCAACCATCCCAACTCGGAATCATGGTTCCTTTCTTTCGCCTTTGCGGATTTTTTTGAAACAGCTTGAGATGTTTGCAGTAGTTTTCTGGAATCACACGGCAATGTTCCAGGTCGTGAAAACAGATGATCGTTCAGTGGCCCGCGATCTTGGTATTGTCACCTTTCCGTCGCTGGTGTATTACCGAAGAAAAAATCCAATCCTATATGATGGTACGTTAACTTTCTCTCAATTTTTCTTGAAATCCCTTTATCATTGCTTTATTCTGCTGGTATTCGTTTTTCTTACCCATCTTTTTGAAGCTGTAAAAAGTTTATATGAAAGCTGTAAGATGAGCGGCTCTGAAAGTTCTTTTTACCATCAAAAAGTCAATGGCCACATGATAAAAGGTGGATTAATTGACGAGAGCAGAGCGATTAATCTAATTATTCAATGATCTATGGGCGTAGGTGGTGTAATGGCAAGTGATACACTATCATACTAGCATGTTCCGGGATCAGCGTCGGGATTCAGATCGGAATCGATACTTGTCCAGGTCGACTAAGCCTTTCATCCCTTCAGGAGTTGGCTAACTGGTACCACATTTGTCTGGGAGGGTATAAACTGGCTTGATAATTGGCTGGCCACAGCAAGTCATTGTATAGGTCACATACGCATTCGAAACCCCACCACGATTTCCGACGGAAGTCGAATGAGGGGGCGTACCCCGGAAATGGGCTCGATCTACACCGCAGACTTTATCCTTTGTTTAGTTTATTCAATGATCTGGTAATAATTTTATGCCAATTCCCGGATAACTCTTTAACGAGGGTAAAGTCAGAATTAAGCCCGAAAGATTAATGGGAATGGGTCGGGATTCCTGGGAAAAAAGATGGGTGCTCCTACACCGTCATGGATCGAAATCAATTCATTCCAGCTGAGCCCGGATAGCTGGCAAATTAACTTCTCAAGTTTGGTGTTGATTACTGTTTTTTCCCAGGCTTTCTGGGGAAAAGCATTAGCTAAGGTCAAACCTACCAGGGGAATTGATCGCTTCGATCTGATTGTGGCATGAAATAGGTGTTGATAGGGGAATCAGTATGAATCTACTCTAAATCGCCTGAATAGAGTATGCGCTTTTCTAGGTGAGTTCAAAGATTCGCAGGAGGTGTTGCGATGGTTACGATCGCACGAAGAGGTTGTCACTTGGGATCTGACCGACGATAATTTCGAATCACGGACCGACTCTCATTCACCAGACGAGGGGACCCTCGACTGGTTTGTCATGTTGTAAGTTTTATTGATCACTTTATTTATTTATTTACCTCTCCTACAAGTTGCTGTGAGGGTTACTCCTAAACATGGCTATATGATTGGAAGAAGAGAGAAAAGGTTCGTGGTGAACCATCCGGGGGCGATGAATTGAGAGGACGGAGCTACAAGGTACCCAGAAGGTACTGGTTGGAATATGGCTCTTTTGGGAAAAAGTGGGTTCGTGGACGGGGTGGGCTTAGGGGTTTGTCGGGTAGGTGGGCGAGAGAAGGTCAGGAGAGGCACGTGAGCTGAGTGGGGTCGGGTTTTTTCGAGACGGCGGTCGCTATTTGATAAACGATCTGTTCCACTTCACCAACTAGTACGATGGGTAACTCTTACCAGATGAAATATCCGACCCTGACTTGCCTAATTGTATTTTTTTCAGTTATGATGCTGACGACGCACCCTGCAATTCCTTCATTCCCATGTGGGAAACAGTGGCTCACAAGTAAGTTTCTTACTCCTTAGTTTTTCACGAGTTCGCTCAAAACATGAGAGCACGGATTGGGATGCTGACATTAAAAGACCATAACTTTTAATGGTGGTTATGTTAAAAGAGAAGCAAATTGGGAAGAGGTTCGCTTCAGAAACTGAAAGGTAACACCGTCAGCTGATAGCACACAGCGGAAAAGAAGTAGAATGGCTATGGGGCAATGCCAAGCTGGATGGAGTCTTTGGAAAAGTTTTGTAAAAAAGTTTCAGACATTACCAGAGACTGCGTCCTCTCCTCGTTTCCTCTCGGTGACGCCAGGAGTCGCCATGCCCACTTCCTTAATTATCGAAAAATCAAACCAATATATCAGGTCAAGGGAAGGAGAGGAAGGGGATTTCAGGGCGGAGTCCATGCAGACGAGACCGTTTCCCTGACGAGACGTCAGTTTGATCCTGGCGTTAAGTGACGCCACCACCACGCTCGTGGTCCGTGGGTCGGATTTCCGTGATAAAATCCATGTCCCTCAATTCTCCTCATTTCAGGCTTCGAGGTTTAGTGCACGTGGGCAAGGTGGAGACGTCGGTTAACGATGACGTCACTGATCGTTTCCATATCGATGAAAACGAGTGCCCTACTTTCTTACTGTAAGCTTTCATATTGATCCTTATTATTGATTGATCCCTCGAAGAATTCCTCTAACGATCCCTGTACATTTCAGATTCCATCGTGGGAAAATGTATCGCTACAAAGAATCAGCAAAGGACGTGCGAACTTTGACCAATTTCGCTCTTTACAAATTCAAAGAGCAGCGAGGGATGAGGTACAGTAACCCATTTAGACCGTTCGGTCTCACGGTCTCATTGTAATCAGCAAAAACTGATTTTAATAATCTGAAAGCGAATTCGGTGTTAGTTATGAAATTGGCGATAGTATGTAGGTGAAAGTGGTTCATTCATAAAGAAAAATTTTTAGAAATTGAATTGGAGGAGAGAATAATAGACAGTGCAATAAACAGTATAGTACGCGCGCGTTCGCGATGCTCCAATGGTCTGCTCCGCATGGGGAAAAAGGATAAAGTTTTGGGACGTCAGTCAACCCCGTGTGAAGGATGTGCCCCTGCATTCGACTTCCATTCAGAATCTTAGTGGCGGATTGAATATGCATGTGGCCTATACAATGACTTGCGGTGACCAGCCGATGTAAAGTCAATGTTTTTATCCTCACAGACGAGTCTGGTACCAATCAACCGACCGCAGAGGGCTGGTAGTTTGGTTGGGCTAGGCGGATATCAATCCGGGATTCGAACCCCTGACCATGTTTGAGGAGATGTAGTGCGCCACTTGCCACTACACCACCTCCACCCGTAGTGTAGGGGTGAGTATCCGCGTCTGCCACGCTTACTATTTATTTATTTATTTATTTATCTTTGCACTCTTTGGTGCACTATGTACATAGAGATATTTTAATACCCCGATTTGATATGAAGACAAAGGGGAGGAAATATTCAATACAATCACCCCATTTGTGTAAAGGAATTTATTCTGATGAAGCTTCCAGTAGAATCAATTACGACTGTGAATGAGATGCGGATCGATACTGTTCGACGTCATCCTCGGCTCCATTGTTATCCATATTGAAAATTAACTTTTATTACGGCAATTATTCAAATCCGATTCATTTCCAGGGTACCCGAGCCGCCTACTGCACTCGAGCACGTGTATGAGTATACCAAAGAGAAAATCTTGGACGTTATGGTAAGTAAGAACCTATAAACAAGTATAGAGGCCTCGAAAACAAGAAGACACCCTGCTCTTCAAAGATGATTCTAGAGGTGTATGCTACAAGCACGGTGGAGCCAGTGGTTACCCCTGATTCGGGAGCCCGGCTGATTGACACCGGCTAAGGCTATCAACGTAAGGGGGATATTGGGTGGGAGTGAAGGGGGTGGGGACGTTGTGGGGGAGGGGAGAAGAGGGAGAGAATGAGAAGGACTCGTAACTCAGTATTTGAACAGGATACTCCTTTTTCAACGATAAAATGAAGTGGACGTAATGATTACCTTGGAGCTATTTTGTGCACTAGCTAACGTCTCGCCGCTCGAACCTTCCGCTACGGCTCATCTCCGGCTCTTTTTGGGAAAATCACTGCCACTTCCCATATCCTCAACTTTAAAAACTGTTATTTTTACAAAATCCAAAACCTGTACTCGTTAGGATACTCTTTTTCAGGAGGATAACCAAATGCTGTCAGTGATTGGCGTCGGAGGTCTGATATTAATCGTCGCCATCACGCTCATTATCAAAGCGTATCGAATCAAACAACAGGACAAGGCGAAGAGCGCCTAAGCCATTAGCCAGAGTTAATCGATATGAAATTACAGTTTTGTAGAGGNCGCCATCCATCCATATCGATAGATATACATATATATGTATGTATGTATGTAGACGTGGCGAGATTGTACGTGGAAGTGGGCGTGTTTGGTGGTGGTGGTGGGTGATGACGAAATTCCCCCGTCGTCGTCATCGTTCCCTTCCCGTTCACCTGCAGCAGCATAGAGCGATCACTGATTTGCCGAAGAGTTTTGACATCGTCGTTGTTGGTTCCCATTTTTGGAAACTCTCAAGCTATTAATTGATTCCCTTTCCACTTCTTTCCCAGTTCCTTACGCTTTAACGACTCGAATCTCTATAATATTTCCCGTTTCAGTGCAATTTTATAGGCTTTATTACAGCGCCTCGGTAGTGTTCCGAATTCGTATTGCGACGAGGAATAGACGGAATGTTGTTTGTTTGTTTTTGTTTACAAGTGGAAAGCAACTATTTATCGCGAAAAGTTTATAAGTATCGAATAATGATCCAATGAATCTGGAAGAATTTCTGGTGATTTCTGGTGTTCTGCAGGACGTACCCCTTTCACCTTCCATTTAACCTCCCTTCCACCCCTCCTCCCTCCCCCCCGTCCTAGTACTCCATACCCTTACCCTCCAGGTAAGTCGTAAGTCAAATCATGTCATGATCGGGGGAAATTCAGGTGGTTGGTTGGTTTTTCCAGCTGAGCCATCCCTGTCCAGAGCTTCCGACTGAGATGAGGGATGGCCATTTGCTCAGAGACACCTGGGTGAATCCAGTCAAACTCCCAGAGAGAGAAGTGGTCCCCACTGGAGGCGTTGGGCTAGGGTCAGGCTTACCGTCTGGGGTTCACTTCTAGGTGGCTGCACATACAAGGTCGATTTGGGGTTCGGGAATCTTCTACAAGTACTGAATCATTCAGGCATCGTACCAATTATGATAATTCGTGCTCCCACGAATAATGGATGTTGGATGGCCTCAATTCCTAGCCTCATCTCTTCTATCCCTTCATTTTCGGCTTCCCTAACCCTTGCCATGGGTAGCTGTAGAAAAATCTGATTTCTTTCGGGATTGACTCCTAGATGCTCTTTGGCAACTTGGTGATCGAACCACCGGATCAGATCGAACTTGCTTCGATTTCTTGTCATTTTAGCGATTTTTCAAAAGATTTTTGTCAATTTTCCGACGAGTCTGACTATGTAACTGGTCCCAGTGATACTTTAGTTTTACGATCGGCCGCTTTATGTGTGTTTATGTATTCAATTCGGTCGCTGGGATACCGTTCATTGACTTTTCAAAAATGCCTTTGTTTTGCCAGTCCAGCTTGCAGCAATTACCTACATACTCGAACTCATCTGATTCGCTTTTGTAAAAGGCAATATAGAATTTATCATGCTTATAGCGTTCAGAAGCTATCCCTACCCAGGTACTCATTTTCACAGTATCGCTTCTGGGTAATTCTTGCTCATTAATTCTTTAATCTTACTGTATTTCTAGCAGTTTTGTTTTGAATTTCTGCTGTTTCCCGTTTTTATGAACTTATCTTTGACAGGAGTGTTTCTTCATTCTCGTAGATTTTGATTGTCATTGAAAGAAGTGCCAATTTGAGTAAACTATTTTGCTATTCATTATTAATATGTGTCGTATGGGGCGGAGGTGGTGTAGTGGCAAAAGGCGTACCTCACACTCGCTTGTGGTCACGGGTTCGAATCCCTGATCGATGTCCATCTAAGCCAACCAAGCCTTCCATCTCTTCACGTTCGGTTAGTTAGTACCAGACTCGCCCGGGAGGATAAAGGCACTAAATTGTACATCGGCTGACCACCGCTGAAGTCATTGTATAGGCCACATACGCATCTTTCTGAATAGAAGTCGAATGCGGGGCGCATCCCTCAGACGGGATTGCTAAACGCCCCAAGATATTGCTTTTTACTTTATGGGTCATAGATACTAACGAAGACATCCTGCTAAGCTGCTCGCATTTCTTTTGCCATCATTACTTGCAGTCAGACTGTCATTGACAGGTGAGCCATCCCGAATGTGTCATTGAGAAAGGGAGCAATTCGTCGAGATAGACCGTAGTGACTAATGAAAAGCGATGTCAAAAAGAAGTCGCAAAAACTGTAAGGGGGTGACTAATCTGTTTTTGCTTTCCGGGAGGAATCGCCCTTCGACTCCTCTAAACCCTTCTCTACTTCAAAGAAGGGGACCGTTCTGCAAGAAAACTTTTGAGCTGGACCGGCCTTTACCGTGGGAGGATAAGAAGGGGCAGACGAAAAAGTTGCAAAATTAAAATCAAGTACTGTAACCCGATTCTTACAGTGACCTTACGTTGAACTAAATTGCAATGGACGTAAAATTTCATGCACAATATATCTAATTCCACGGTGCAACCTATTTGAATGTGCAGAAATCCTTCATCCGTCACAAAGAGGACCTTGAGAAAGGACATGAGGCGGCTACGTAGGTTAGTCGGAGGGGTGTTTTGCAGCATGATCAGGACCACTCGGCAGGATTACTGTAGGAGATGGTTTCTCGCACTGAATCTTCGTTACCGTAAGCCCTTTGTTTATGTGATCGAATACATTGGATAATATTTCTTATAGTTTCAAATTTATTGAATTCTTTAAGTATGAGAAAGAAGCGAAAATTCTCAATCTGCTGCTGCTTTCAACCATTCCGCTTCATAAAGGGTCAGCAGTCCGTGAAACAAAAATCAAATTTATTCGCTTCATTAGAATCTGTGGAAATTTTTAGAAAGTGTAATAATTGCACCCTCTTTGAAACATCGACTGAAAGTGGCCATTGCCAGTTTGCGTTCACAGTTCGTAATGTGCCATTGGCGATGTGCGTCAAGTAACGCGCGTCCTATATAGATTGATCGATACATGGCACGTGAAGTGTCATGTCAGTACTGGCGTGTAAGACAGACAGTAGGATCGGTTTTGTGTAATCGGTTCGCCGCACGCGGCAGTCGCGGACTATTCGCATCGTTGTTAAAGTTCTAGCCTTCTTCATACACCTCAATCGATATGCGATTATTATTTTTGTCATAATTTCAATATTATTCCTTATGTTCCTCTATTTCTTAGCCGCTGCTTCATCATGCTACATTCCTTCGCGCGCGGCGTCCCTCTCGCCGCGATGCGACAATTTCGGTCCTACTGCACCACACTTGTATTGGCGTGCCATGCCGGCCGTATCACGTATGGGATAAATGTGATCAGCTGCATGTCCAGGGTGACACTTCAAGTCCTATCTCCATTTATCGGAATTCTTACTCCTAACATATTGTTCTACTCTGAAAGCTCTGTTCATCCTCAGTATCAGAAGACAGGTTAGTTTGGATGGGATACATGGTGCTCTTGCGTAGGGCTGCGAAATCACTCCCGTTCAT